GAGCATAGGATTCAGAGTAAATCAGATTAGACTACTAGATGAGACAGTTACACTCAGGGGGAGGTGGGACTGTGACTGAAATCAGCTCCACATGCAGAATTTTGTAGCCCATTTTCAGTTCTAACCAATAGAAACCAACAGATTATCTGCTGATTATTATTATAAATCTTATAACATTCTGTTCATTTCTGATTATTGTTATTTGATAAGGCGTTGCTGTTGCAAAACTAAATCTGACCTACACTTTACATCAATTCCTGATTGCAGCTTTAGGTTCGGTTCGGTTAGGTTCGGGTTTTTTTGTTGTATTTGACTGATTTGGACATTTAATCCATGCAGAAAAGAAACAGATGTGTAAACAGATGTTGATGTATTCATTTCATTTGAACATTACAGGGTAGGTAATGTAGATGATAAGAAGATCAGTGCGGTTGTGGTTTTAATGCTTTGGCGCCACCTGGTGGATGATAATGATAAACACACAGTTGATCAGCTCAGCAGCGTCCATCAAAAATATAACCACAATGATATTTTTAACAAGAGAAAACACTGCATTATTATCAATGTAAATCAGCCTCCCTGTGAGACAGTAAGTGAATCAAGGAGAATACTGCCAAGCACAACAAGTCAAACTGTTCTTTTGTTTTTTTAAGTTTGTTTAAACATTAAAATATATCATGTGGAAAAGGAGCGTTAATATGCAAATGAAATTCTGAAATCTTTTGTTAGAAAGAATAACCTGATTACAGTATATTTATTATTATTTACGTATTTATGTATTGATGCCTGGGCTACAAACATGTTTTTTGTATCATCTCATGTGATTTCATTGCCTGTATTATTGAACTAGATTTGTATGGAATATATCTAGTATTTAAGATTCGTTCTTACATGATTTTGTTTGTCACCTGTTATGATGTGAGAAACTATTAGGCAGCTAGCATGGCTAAGAATTTTAAAATAGGCAGTTTCACAACCTCATTGACAACATGTAACTTTGCATTTGGACCAATTTTGATCACAAAAATCTCTCATAAATTATTAAGAGCTATTTCATAGCTAAATGGAGCAATTTACTGATTCACAAACAGCAAAATCCCACAGCGCGTGTGTGTTTGTTAACATGTCCTTATCAATACAGACTGTCAGGTCTAATAGCTTAACTAACAGCAAAGTCATGTTTTACCATTTTCGACCTACAGCAGTTTTTGTAAAAGGAACAAAATTAATAGGTACTTCATTTAGTTCTTACCACTAACTTACCACTTACTGCTGAATTAAACAAAAACGTTAAATTTTGGTTAATGTTGAAGTGAACAATTGATTTTTGACTTTTGATTTCACTAAAGTTTTCACTCCAAGGTTTATGGACTCATAAATTTATGAGAATGACATAAGATGTGAAGCACACAACATAAAACCTTGGATTGTTGGATTAAAACACTGATTAAACCTTAGGCCAGAAACATATTTAACACAAGTATGTGAACATCCGGCCAACGCATTGCAAATGCACGACCCTTCTGTACAAACTGACTATATACTCTTATGTTACTGTGCTCTATTGCCCCCTGGAGTACACTCAGTACACTCAAATCAGAGCAGGATCTAGTGTTATTCCAACATCCACAACAGCTGAATGCAGACAGTACAGGAGTGTGATCTGCTTTACCTGTTATGTTGGAATCATAAGGTGATAATGTATCATGTTTCTTTATGTAAGCAAACTATTTTTGTGTGAGACTCAACTGCTCGTCTGCTATGACAGTTGAGAAAGCATGCTGACGGCACAAGGCCGCTTGGTTGGGCTTGGCTTTTGTTGTAGTGCCCTTTGCTGTGACACTCAGAATGCAGCTCGTGGTTGTGTTGCATTATAAATTGCATCGTGACACATTTCTGAACGCAGCAATGTGCAGAACCCTGTCTGCATAGCTCATAACATCTGTGTTCATGACCATGTTAAAATATGTCATGGTAGAATGTCTCTGGAGCTTCTTTATTATAACAGAACAGGATTGTGAACAAGTAAAGGTAATGTTATTGAATCTTGTGTGCCGCTCATGACTTTAATAGTTCTTTTATTGTGTTGTTGTTTCTCTAGATGAACTCTCATGGACACAAATGTTCAGCTGAGTCTTGGAAAGATTCTGTTCCACCTGGAATCATGGATGTTGCCAAAAACCTGCTGCTATTAACTATTTTTTGCAGATCTGTAGTGTGCGGCTGGTCTCAAGGCTCTCCTGTCGACATACACGATGAGCTGGAAGCTTTGGTGCCCTCTCTAACAAAGAAGGTGGTGGGAGCTATTTTTCAGTCTATGCTGAGCATCAGCTCTGAGGGAACATCAAAAGATGCTGTGGACTGTGGTTCAGATACACCCCTGAGCAACTTCCTCCAGGCTGTGGCTGACAAAATCAAGTCAGAGATTTCCCCTGAATCAGCCCCGCCAAGGCAGTCGAGCAGTCCATCTGATTCCAACATGGTCGATGAGCCACCTTCCCCTCGGGAGCTGCCTGATTTTGGCAGAAAAGAAAGACGTCTACTCGTCAACTGTTCTGATGTGACCGAGAAGCTCTGGAACTCTTATTGCCCTCGATGCGAAAGGGTTTTGGAGAGCATTATCTTTAACAACGTGAATCAGAACAGTGACACAAACTCCACTGAGAAAGACACACTGAGGCTCTTCAGGCTCTCTGTTAAAGCTTTCCTGGTCAAGGCGTCCAAAATGGTCAAACAGATCTTTAATGATGAGACCACAAAGATTGCCAGGATTTCAGAACCCAGCAAAAGCCGCAAGACATGTTTTGAAAATGCAGAACCTCCTGTTTTCGGCTCCAAGCTGGAAAGCAGCATGTTGAATGTGAATGAATATGATGAATGAATATGATGACTGAAGCCTTAGACATTGTTTAATGATAGTTTTGAGAAGCTTTTTAAAATGCATTCATGGCAGAGAGATAAATACAGGGTGAAACAGTCCCCACAGAAAACAGTTTTTTTCATATTTCTACTATTTTAATGTCCACATTACATATAAAAACTCACAACGTGTATAGGTCTGCTTTTTAATTTGGACAATAAATAAAACAGATTTATCTGCATTGTAGACATTGTGAACCCTGCTTACTGTCACCACCGCTGTAAAGAAATCTGAGTCAGGAATTTTCTCTACAGTTAACTGTTTCACTTTGAATCTCTCTGAATGACTCTGTTTACATCTCAATGGTTGAATTATGCAAATATTGAAAAATTGGTTTAATTCCAGTAGGACATCTGATTACTGAAATAAAAAAGCAGAAAAAGTGTATAAAGTATATTTTATAGTGTGTAGTCACAGAATCAATGACTGTGTAAAATGAGGCTGAGTCTGATGCAGAATTTTGGCCATGATGGTATTTATTTTGATGCAGGTTAAAAAGTCTCTAACTCTTGGAGAATCGTGTTAGGTGTGCAAACATCAGCATATTCAGTAAGTAAGAACTCGTTTCTGTTTGGACTAATGACGTATTTCCTTAACTAGAACTAGGCTGGTCAGCTAGCGAACAGGCTAAAAGATAACTTACCTAGCTAACGCTAACATACTAAACATATCCTTCATTAATATCACAGGTTTGAATGAAAGTACTTATTTGATGATTTACTGTAAAATTGCAATGTAAATGTCTAAATAATGTCACTTAAATAGCTATCATGCTTCAAATGTCTGTGCTTCAGTCAGGGGTAGTAAGAAATCCAGGCTGAATCTCAAACAGCTCCGTACTCCCTAAATAGTGTGCTTGAAGTTTGAGTTTTGAAGTTTAAGCTTTTGAAACCAAATAGTGCACTTTTTGTTGAGTATGGATGTGGCTGAATCCCAAACGGCTATTTGTTTGCTATATTATGCACTGTTGTGGTGCTGAACTCCGTATTTAACTTACATCGTAGTGCACTATGTAGGGAGCGGGGAGCCATTTGAGATTCAGCCCAGCGTGGGAAGAGGAGCGCCGTTAGCTTGGTGCTAAATAAAGACTCGCGGTGGTAGTTTGGTGACCAAGAAATACTCATAAATTTTACATTAAACGGTGCTTTATTATGATATGTTCATGATTATACGTCAAGAAACTACGTTATATGTTAAAAACGGCATGAAATGTCCGCAGTATGTAGTGAGGGACGACCGAATGTTCTTCTGCTCCTTCAGCGGTCAGTGGTTGCTTGGCAGAGATACCAGACTCTAAAGCAGGAGTGTCAAACTCAACTACTAAAAAACCCATATTAAAAAATCTCAGCAAATCCGGAGACCAGCTGTGTTTTATTTTAATTTAGTTAATATTTTGCCGTGACCCGAGCAGAACATTGCTTATTTAAAATACTAATAATGCCTTCGACTCGTGCCTGCGACCAAATCACAGCCGTGATGTTATTTCGCGATAACACACTCCCTCTGGTTCTATTCCTTAAACACACACACACACACACACACACACACACACACACACACACTCTGCTATTTATCACCATGGCAACGTGCATTCAAGCGGAACACCAATTATGATGTCAAAATGGATGAGTGACGTCACAACATTCCATACTTAAAATTTCGTCATTTCTGATCAGTTCGATGAGAAACAAACAGCAAAGCAGCTCAAGACTAATTTGTCTAAATTATAATCTAGTTTAGAGGAAGAAATTTAATACAGCAGAAGATGATGGAGCAGAACTCTGCAGCCACAGGTTCCATACATTCCTGTTTGAGTTTGTTTATTCATTTACTCATTATTTATTAATTGTTTAGTGTTTTTTGTTTGTTATTTTCGTTTTTGTCAGCAGCACAATACAAGCACGTTTAGATATAACTGAATTACTTAATAACAACATAGAATATAATGCAATGTGTCAGCACAGAACTATCATTACTACAAATATATTCAGCTCATTTTCCATGAAATAACATTAAATATTCAAATGGTCATCCTGTACTCAGACACTCCACGAGAAAAGAGGAAGAGAGCAGAGGAGAGATACAGCCAGAGTGCTGAAGAGGGAACAAGCAAGGTTCCCAACACTGAAGCTCTGGCAAAGAAGAAGAGGAAGGGGGCACTGAACCGGCCCAAGAGAACAACTCAAGGACAGAAGAAAGCCGCTGAGCCAGGTGAGTCCACCCAGCCCCAAACTGTAAAACTGGAAGCCATCACTGAGGAAATATGACTGGTTAAAAAGAGCTAATGCACAGCAGAAAGTATTGGTGGTAGAGAAGAAATACAAAGTGAAGGACATGGTCTGTAAAAAAAATATATTTTTTACAAAACATATACATTGAGAATGTAACTGTGTTCTACAGTAAGTATTATCATAAATGCTTCGTTGTTCTACATCTGAACAATTCTGTTGTGGGTAAATTGACCGGTCCAGAACATTAAATATTCAATAATCATCTTGTACATAGAAACTTCTCGAGGAAAGAGAAAGAGAGCTGAGGAGGGATGCAGCCAGAGTGAGGGAACAAGCAAGGTTCCCAACACTGAAGCTGGGAAGAAGAGCAAAGAGGCAGTTAACCAACCCGAGACATCGACGAAGAGACAGAACAAAGCCACCGAGCCAGGTCAGTCCATTCACCACCATATTATAAAATTAAGCACTGTCACTAAGGAAATATGATTGGTTAAAAAGAGCTAACATGCAGCCAAAAGTGTTGGTAGTAGTAGTGTGCAGAACATTAAATATTCAATAATCATCCTGTGCTTAGAAGCTCCTCGAGGAAAGAGAAAGAGAGCTGAGAAGGGATGCAGCCAGAGTGCCGAAGAGGGAACAAGCAAGGTTCCCCACACTGAAGGTCTGAAAGGGAAGAAGAGTAAGGGGGCAGAGAACCAGCCCAAGAGAACGTCTCAGGGACAGAAGAACGCCAACAAGTCAGGTAAGTCCTCTCACCCCCAAACTGTAAAATTAAACACTGTCACTGAGGAAATGTAATTGGTCAAAAAGAGCTAACATGCAGCCAAAAGTGTTGGTGGTGGAGAAGAAGAGGAAAGTGATGGACACTGGCATTAAAACAAAAAAGATAAAAGAAAACTGCTAAACAGAGAAAATGAAAGAAATTCGGAGGATCACCTTTATTAAAAAATAATCTACAATTAGAATGTAACAAAGTATTCTACAGTAAGTATCATAGATGCTTTGTTGTCCTACAACTGAATAATTCTGATCTGGTCACTCTAGTGGTGGGTCCATTGGCAGGTCCAGTTGTGGATCAAGTTGTGGGTAAAGTGACAGGTCCAGAACATTAAATATTGAATAATCATTCTGTACTTAGAAGCTACACAAAGAAAGAGGAAAAGAGCTGATGAGGGATACGGCCAGAGTGCCGAAGAGGGAACAAGCAAGGTTCCCAACACTGAAGCTCCGGCAGGGAAGAAGAGGAAGAGGGTAGAGAACCAGCCCGAGACATCGACAAAGAGACAGAACAAAGCCACCGAGCCAGGTCAGTCCAATTGCCAGACAACTGTGTACTATGAATGACTAATTTCACTTCATTCTAAGAGAACTGTAATTATCTAAATGAAGTTCACACAAAGTAGATTCCACTGCATCCTTCATAATCAGTAAGTTTGATTGGTAAACCCCTGATCAGTGATCTAAAGAGGACTGACGCTCATTTGTAATTTTGTTTTTCATAGACACCTTTGAATCCCGCTATGTGGTTGAAGACAAACTGGGTGAAGGAGGCTTTGGATCTGTCTTCAAAGGAAAACGTGTTTCTGATGGCCTACAGGTTCTGCTCACACCTCAGATTTCATTCTAATGGTCATTATTTCCCTTTCTCTCTTTTCCCCGCTAACAATCTTAATATCTTTTGTCTTTGTGTGCAGGTGGCCATTAAATTTGTCTCAAAGGGGAAAACAGATCGATATCTCCAAAGCGTAAGTGCACCTACTTAACACGTAACACATAATGGTCCCAAACCGGCCCAATGAGTTTCTCGCCATGTTCTTCACTCCTCACCATCTAACTATCTACTATCCTGCAGCCTGTGGAGTCCAAGGCCGTGCCTGTGGAAGTGGCTCTGATGCAGATAATGAGCCAGCCACCCGTCTGCAAGAACATAATACAGCTAATCGAGTGGTTTGATGAGCCTGAGAGATACATCCTCATTATGGAGCACCCTGACCCTTGCGTGGACTTAAAACATTTCCTGAAAAGTCATGGAAATTGCGTGGATGAAGAGACGGCCCGAGCCATAATGGTCCAAGCAGTGGAGGCAGCGAGCCAGTGCAGCATGCGAGGTGTCCTGCATCAGGACATCAAAGGGGACAACTTGCTGATCAACACGGACACCTTAGAGGTCAAACTTATTGACTTTGGCTGTGGTGACCTGATCAAGACAACGGAGAATGACAGATACACAGGTAAAATTTCAACACTCCCCCTTTGTGGAGAATCTTCAGCTAAAGCCAAAGGAGTTGAGCTTCACATCTAAAAAGGATGTGAAGGTGAACCGTGTCCTGTAGCCACTTAGCTGTTAAATGAAATACTGTGCTCAGCTGTGCTCTTTCTCTATTTTATGTTCTCAGGCACGGTTCATTACTACCCTCCTGAGTTTTCTGCGAAGGGGAAGCATCACGCTGAACCTGCAACAGTGTGGTCACTTGGTGTCCTGTTGTTCAGGATGGTTTGTGGATACCTTCCCTCCGCTGACAAAGGGATTTGGAACTTCAAGGATGGCCTGTCTGAGGGTAAGATAAATAGGAACGTCTGGGTAAATGAGGCATCCCTTTGACTTGGTAATTAAGTACAGAGGAAGGAAAATTGATCACGTAATTGATAGTTAGAAGAATTTATAATTGAGGCCAGACGACCCTAATAATACATATATATATATATATATATATATACCTTTATAATCTGAAATTTAGTGTTTAAGCATCTCTCTCCCATCCAATCCTGTCAATCTGCACAGAATGCTGTAATCTGATTGGCTGGAGCTTGGAGCAGATCCCGTCCTCGAGGCCTAGTTTGCAGCAGTTCATGCGGCATAAGTGGTTCCAGCGCACCATCCAGGACTAGGATTAGGTTAGCCAGGGAGGCTAGGAGAAGAAGCAGTAAGCCTAAAATATCTAGTGACAATTGAGGAGATACTGTGGTTACATACGTGCCATAAGTAAACTGGAAATGACGATTAAGATTAAAAATCGCAAGATTTCTAAGCTTGAGAGTCTAATGCATCGCCTTTTGGTTTATGTTTCAGGTTATGAAGGGCTGTTAAGGACAGTTCATAAAAACACCAACAAAAACAGCAACAGCAACAAAAAAACACCTTTCCATGTGACCACAGACTACTGGAAATAGAACAGTGACAAATGACGAAGGACAACGACAATGTAAAATGAACAAGGGCAGCGGAAGATGGACAATAGCCATGGAAGAAGCACAAGAGTAGCAGAAAAGGGCACAATGACAATGCAAATAGAACAGTGACAGTGAAAAAAGGACAACAACAGCGGATGAAGAACAATGTTTTGAAAAAGGACAACAACAGTAGATAAAAGACAGTTACAACGAAACAGTGGATAAAGTGGACAATGACAGAGAAAAAGGACAAAGAGAGTGAAAAAGGAGAATATCAGTGAAAAATTCTTTGGTTAAATTTGAAATAAAAACACTGTTTGATTCCATACGTTTGGCCTAAAGTGAATTAAAGGCCCCATTTTTCTTGTATTTTTTTCCTTGGGGTCCACTGATGACTTTCACATTCAACATATCAAAAACAGTCTTAATTTATTTCTGTATGACCACTTTATCCCTTACAATTCAACAGGCTGTTGTTCTTATTGTACCTTTAAAACTGAAATATGCAAATAAGCTCTGTTCTAGTTGGCTGTCCTGTATTGTGTATTTCTTCATCCCCCTCAATATAATAATATAATTGTTATCTAACTGTTCCATCGTGTCTCCAGATTCACAATATACTGTGATAGCAGAGCGTGAACTGGAAGAGATGCTGCTGCTGTAATCCACTGCTGATCAGTGGTGCTACCTGAGATTTACTAACATAACTACAGGAGATGTCAGTCCTCTACTGTTTAGCACTGAGGAAAAGTGTAATTTGGCTATTTAGAACAATGAGTTCTGTATAGAACTATTTCGTGCTTAAATGGTTCTTTGCATGGTGACGTGTTTTTTAGATTGATGGAGAATGTGTTGTATATGGTTCTTTAAAAAAGGGTTCTTCTACTGTTACAATGTCAAGCTTGTAACAATAGAAGAACCCTTTTTGGTGCTACATGGAAATATTTTCAAAAAGGTTCTACATGGTGCCATATACAAAAAAAATCTCCATTAATCTGAAGAACCATTTCACTGTGCTAAGAAGAATTTATGCACAAAATGGTTCTATAAGGAACTAATGGTTCTAAATAAAATCATTCTCTTTACTAAAGAACCCTTGAAGAACCATCTTTTTTAAGAGTGTAGGTTAAGTGGAACTAATAGCTAAGTTATTAAACATGAAAGCACAACTACAGAACAAAATCACTTCTGATTAAAGCAGCTGAGACAGTACAGATTCACAATCTGTGTATTATAAAGAACATATTTAGGACATGTTTATCTAAGAGAGAGAAGACGGCGCTGCTTGACCTCAACCCCAAGAATGTAACTGCAGCACCATTTAAAGTGGAACAGAAATTTTGAATGATAAGCTGCCAATTTCAGTTTCATCTTCTTTTCCACAACGTTCTGCGGAAAATATTTGTTTTTGATTTTCTTATTTTGTTCATTGTACTGTTTCTCATAATTACTGGAATACTAATCATGAAAACAATGTAAAGTGGGGTGCAGAGCAGTGCAGGATTTATCAGCAATGTTTTCTTGAGCAGTTTTTGTGCTCATAGCAGCTGTTTTGCAGCGTTGGCGTTGTTTAAAGGAACAATATGTAATATACTTAATGAACTAAATCATAAAATGATCATGATTCATCATCAGAGATTAAGGAAACTGACTTCTCCAACAACAGTGTTATTGCCAGTATGTTCTAGAGTGGAAAGTCTGTTTATGTTTTGGCCTGTGATCCTGCCCACTGCCCATTTACCAGCACCATTTCAGCACCCTGGGTTACCAGATATGAAACAAATTGAAATGTAAAATTGATTAAAAAAATTATTATTATACAATGTATTACTTAAATTAAGCCATTGCTTCTAATTTTTCAGTAAAAATATTGCTGGTTGTAATTTTTGTATTTACTAGCCATTTTATGAGTTTAATCTACAGTGGACCCAAACATTTCTGCTTTGTGTTTTTGCTTTTGTGTATTGATATTTTTTCTACTTTGAAATTGTTTATAATTATGATGCACAACAATCTGACTACATTTTAAATGTTTATGCTTTTCGTTTTGTTTAAGGGATTCGGCTCTGGTGAAATGTTTTGTATATACATGACCTATGTATATAATATGACCACATAAGCTCATAGTGTAACCAGTTAGAAGTCTGCTTATAAACTACATAGGTTACTACCATAGGTGGGTTTAGAAACCCACCTCTAGACAGAAATGGCCCATGTTTAACATATTACAGGATAAAATCATTTAAAATCATTTGCAACAACAGCAGTTTATCTAGTTTTGTGTTTGTTTACCCCTCTAGAAATCATACTAATTATTGCATCCAGAATCTGAAAACAAACTGTTTATCAAGTTAAATAGTGAAACAGTCTCTCATGCACAGGTGGTTTGGTCTTCTGTGTGTATTTTATAAAGGCACATTGAATGAGTTAACACATATACTTCAGGGACAAACACAACCAGTTTTATTTCACACACCGCTTAAGTATAATTTTTCAGACATTTATGTCATCTCTGATTTAAAATAAAATGTCTGAACAATGATATTCTAAACCCACTTGAGCAGTTTAAAATTCATGCAGAAATATTGTGAAAAATGAAACATGTATTTATGAGTGTGGAAAATATAGTACTTTTTGACTCAAGGCAGACAGTCTGTGGAATGTCCAGCTGTGCATGTCATTGAAGGTGTAAACACAACATAAACACATCATTCATGTTCTGTTTTAATTCTGAAATGGCTTTTAACACGTATTAATTACGAAGAAAAATATTAATAATATTTTGCATGTTCTGGAGTAAATGACTTTGGCATCCTGAGGGCTGCATTTGGGCTGGGGACTAAGGTGGGTACTCAGCCATAACAGTGTGCCATATGTGAGCCAGATCTGGGCCACACCTTTTAAATATGCTGTACAGTGTGTGGGCCAGAGCTGTGAGTTCTACTTACTTTACAGTACATGGTGCAGATCTGGGTCAGTCTTACACACTTTACTTTGCTTGCCTGTAATAGACGGGTTTTACTTTAGAAACTGAATATTGAGACACAAAGTCCACAACTGCAAGATCTGTAAACAATAAGAAAGTTTCTGTTCTAACAAACATCAAGAAACCTTTAATCAAAACTAAGGTTGAACTAATGTAAAGCACTCCTGACGGTGGACGCTCATATGAACCAGGAAATCAAGACGACTCGCTAACCCAGAGCAAACAACCTAGGCCTGAGCTAACACGTTAGCTCCGAGCTAACGTGCTAACCACAAACTAATGCGCTCTGTCATTATGGCACAACACTTGATAAGCACAGGCTAAATCTTTTAAATGCTCAGAGTAGTTAGCTAACGTTAGCTCGCAGTTAGCACTCTAGCTCGGAGCTAACACGCTAACCCGAGCTACCGCGCTAGTGCTGCAGATTTACCTCAGTTTACTGACACATTTCACTCAGCCACTGCAGATTTACTTCGCTTACTGAAAGCACTACTGACAGTGGACACTCATATGAACCAGACAACGCGCTAGCCCGGAGCAAATGACCTAGGCCCGAGCTAACAAGCCAGCTCCGAGCTAACGTGCAAACTGCAAATTAACACGCTATGTCATTATGGCATTACACTTAATAAGCACAGGCTATTCCTTTTAAATGCTCAGAGCCGGTAGTTAACGTTAGCTCGCAGTTATCACTTTATCTCAGAGCTAAAACATTAGCTGTGGTTGGCACCGTTAGTGCATTCGCATTTAAAAGGAATAAGTTAACATCCACGACGAATTTGTAATTAAGGGTAACGTAGCTTAACTTTTAGCTGATAACCAAGTAATTAACCAAGCTAGCATGTGCTTTTTAAGTGTTATGCTATAATGCTATTGTAGCTATAGTTAAAACTTGAATTTCCACACTGGAACCTTAGAATTTTAAATAGTATCACTGAAGTGAACTTACACATCACAAATAATGTTAATGTATGTAAATGTGCCTCTGTAAGTGTATTACTTCTCTAATGCCTCTTCCATTTGTTTTCTTTTCAGATTAGATTAGATTAGATTCAACTTTATTGTCATTGTGCAGAGTACAGGCACAGAGCCAAGGAAATGCAGTTAGCATCTAACCAGAAGTGCAAAATCCAATAAATAAATAATATAAAGTGCAGAAGGATGGTAGAGTGGTAAAAGTAGATATGCAAGTGTAAATATAATATACATATATACAGAGTGAGGGGAGAGCGTACACATGTAGGTACTATGTACTGTCAGAGCAGCATATGTAAAGATAAGTATTCAGAGTAAACTTGTACAGTAACTGTTGGTGCAAATATGATTAGTGCAGTAATAGACTGTGCAAATATGAATAGCGTAAGAATACTAGGACATAAAGTACGATAACAGTGCAGTGAGTGCAAAGATGCAGTTAAAGTGGTGATGTGGAGTTCAGCAGAGTCACAGCCTCAGGGAAGAAGCTCTTCCTGAGCCTGCTGGTACGGGAGAGGAGGCTTCTGCACCAGATGGGAAGAGGGTAAAAAGTCCATGGTTAGGATCAGGAACGTCTTTGATGATGTTCTTCGCCCTGCCCAGGCCGCACTTATGGTAAATCTTTAAACACAGCTGCTGGCTTCCCATTTAAAAGTGATGAACTTGGGCGGGAAAATTTGTTAAACAAGGGTTTTAACCATTAAACAGTGAGCGTCAGCTGTTTTCTGTACTTTCAGTAATGGGCCACTGAAAAGGA